GTTTGTTGTCATGTGGCCCCATCGTTGGCCATTGTCGTATGCCCTGGTCCATTTCTATAGTTGAATATTTTCGATTCATCTTAATGCATCTGCATTTGTCAATCTGATTTCGTCACGGTAGTGTTTGAAGGAAGGCTCTGTTAGTGCATACCATGTGTTCACAACCTTCTTCCGCAACATCTTGTCCTTGATCTCCTGCATGAAATTTTGAGAGATGTGTCTTATGCAATACACATGCGTTGATGGAGGATCCTGCCAACTGTTATCAAGATTCTTGTATGTACTCTCGATTGATGGATGTCTGTCAAAAATCAAACATAAGTTAGGTTGGGGATACACGTGTAATCAGATACTTTTTAGGAAAAAACTCCAACCCCCGGTTGTCTCCCCTTCAACTAGAGTGAATGAGATTGGGAAAATGTTTTCGTTGCCATCCTATGCCACTTCCATGAGTAGCGTTCCTTTATATTTCCCGTACAATCATGTTCCATTAATTTGAGTAATAGGTTTACAGTATGCAAAACCTTTGATACATGGGTCAAACGCCCAGAAGAGTCTGTGAAAAATGTCATTTCCACTGATACAAGTCCCGTATAGGGTATACGCCGACAAGGTCTCCAAGATGGTAACAGTCCCTGAAGCATATTGTTTAAGTGTGACCAAGTATTTTGGAAGTTCTTTGTATGACTCCTCCCAATTTTTGAACATCGTTTCGACCGCCTTAGTCCTAGTTATCCATGCTTTTCAGTATGGCGGAGTATAATTGTATCTTTGAATCATATACGAGATTATGGTACTCACTTTCAAAGAAGGATTGTCGCTAATGACTGACAGAGTTTCATTGCATATCAACTTAGAGTTGAGTTTGCGATGATCCTACATTGGATTTGTGATTATACAAGTGTGCTCTGGACTCATAGACCCTATCTTCCATGAATCGCTTTTCTTCCAGTAAGACATTGTCAATCAAAACGAGCACACCTTGTTACAATAGTAGATCGTATATAGAATCGGATTCATTCGATCGACTTTATAATCTGTTGATAATTCCATGTAATATTTTTTATAGCTCAGACACAATTTTCTTTTGTACAAAAATGTATGGATTATAAAAAATATATGTTGATGGTTCATCTACACCTAAGTTCAGACTTGTCATGTGTTGAGGTGGATAATAAACATGACTGCCTGGTAATGTGTCTTCCTCATACGCGATAGTGGAATCATTTACCATTTCATCAACAATTACTTCAGCTTCTTCTTCTTCTTCGTCAATGACATGACTTCAGCTTGTTTGTCGTCAGACTCATAAAAAACTTGAGAAGGATCAACAAGTTGAGACAATTATTATTGTTGTAAGTAATATATAGCTCAATATCATTGAAACCAAAATAATCATGACTGAGAAACATATTACGAACATCTTCATCATCTTGAACCTTTAATTGAAAAAAATTTGCATTGATTGTTGGCAAAAAAACACTAGATTCTTATAGATGATTTGGCCAACTAGACCACATTGTAATTTCTTTTCTAGTCTCTTCACATGAATATTAGAAGGCGCCATATGAAATGGCGTATATGTTTAAAATTCAAACCCATGCACCATATGAGATGGCGTATGTGTTTAAAATTCAATCTCATACGCCATATGAGATGGCGTATGTGTTTTATTTTGACACCTATGCACCATATGGTATGGCGACAATGCATTCTGACCGTGCAAAACCCTAAATTCACGTGAAGAGAAGAATTCCATTATAAATATGTTCTTCACAGATTGGCTCATCACAAACTTTTCTCATCACATATTCCAGCAAGCAACAAACTCTTCTCGTCACAACCTAGCTTTATTCCAATACACAAAAATGTCTCTACTTACAATGGATGACGAACACAGGGGGAAAATTGAGAACATTGCATCATTTGTAAGTTATTTTGTTTATTTGTTTTATCTCCCCTTACTTAGTTACTTTGTCTTTATAACGAAGGTTATTTGTATTCTTTGTCAGGATGTAACAAGATTCTGTTGTCATGTGCATGACTATACTACACGACCCATTCATACAGGGATACATTGGATCATGTGGCTTTGGTGATTTGATAAAAATCACTTCGTACTCAGTTGACCCCAAATTTATTCTAGCTTTGCTAGAACGTTGGAGACCATAGACCCACACATTTCATCTTCCTTTCGGTGAATGCACCATCACATTTGAAGATGTCTATATGTTACTGGGCCTACGCATCGATGGTAAGGCCTTAATAGCAAAGTAGGTGTTGATAACCATATTTGCGAAGATTTGTTGGGTGCTCCTCTTTGTGTCGAAACACCTCAACCACAACGTGCAGGTCAACCAAGGGGTCCAGGTATAAATTTAAAATACCTTAGAGACCATTATAATAGTATCATATTAAACGACAAATCCACCGAGTATGACAAGGTAATTAAAACCCATTGTTATATTATGATCTTATTTGGACATTTTTTATTTCTAGAAAGTACTAGAAATACTGTAAATATTATGTATTTGTCATTGTTACGCAACATTAATAAAGTATGCACTTATAGTTGAGGTTCAGCTGCTCTGGCCCATCTATATAGTTCCTTGTGTAAAATTTCAAAAAAAATAATACTTGTACGTTTTATGGTTGCGTCTTTCTACTTCAAGCATGTGGTTGGTCTAGAATACCAACACTAGCACCGATCAACCCACATCCATACGCATTCTCCTACGCAAACAAGTAAGTTTATTTTAAAATATCAAACATGTATACTTTGATGAAACGTTTATTTGTAACTATTTTTTTCTCACTTTTTTTAGGTGGTCAGGTCTGGGAATGACTTACCAACGATGTCCCAGAAACTCAATAATCGTGTACCGTAATCTTTTAGAACACATTGGGCCGAACGATGTAAATTATTCTTACACTACTATAAATTTGGCTATTAAATTACCACAATGTGATTTTTCTCATTAAATATTTTGTTCATGTAGTTTGTCTGGAGGCCGTATGTGGGTCACGACTATCAGCCCAACGACGATGATGTTGCAGTGTGGAAAGAAAAAACACCAATCATTCGGTTCACTGTAGTGGAGATGCACCAAAGTGATCGGGCGAAACTGCAGTTCGACATGCATCAAGATATTCCAGTCGCTCTGACGTCTTTGGGAGACTGGCATCAATTGAGAGTGGATGCATAGTGGGGCCTAGATGATTGGAGAGGCTTTGCAAAAGAGATGTGTCGACATTTAAAGAATTGACGTCACCAAATCTTAAACGAGCCTGTTATGGAAGGGGTTACACCAAGTCATCAATATATGATTTGGTTTAGGTCGGTTACAACACAACAGTTTGTGTCTTAGCCGATATATATGATAGATATGCGCCAACGTGCTTCTTCCTCATTCACTGCCCAACAACTAACACCACATCACACCCAACAACAATATCTATCCATCCAATTAAACTTTCAGACCCGCAACCCATTCATGCCACCCACCCAATCACAACAACAAGAATCTGGCTATTACTACTAACATTCACACACTGACACCACATCTACCTATAGCCTTGATGACTCTATCGACTCCACCCTATCCCACCATAGCCCCCACAAATGAACACACAATCATCCTACCACCAAAACACCCAACCACTATTTGACTACCTTACCCCACAACAACCATTGAATCGTTTCTAAAACATTTTAATGTATCAATTCGACCAACCATATTGTTCGCACCTAACCTAACCACCACGTCCCAACTTCAAAAACATGGGCATGGAACTAAATTACGGAAGCGTCGTTGGCAGCAACCCCCTGACTATTGGCGACAGATGATTCAAAATTTGTCGGATACGCCGGGACCCTCTGAACAAATACATTTTCCGAAGGACAATACACTCAACAAATACCTTTTTCATGAATTTTTTTATCTATTTTCTATTTTATTTCCTAATTAATCAAAAAATAAATAAAAAATATTAAGGAGGATGTGTCATCCCATATGACGCATGCACTCCAAGTCATTCTAAGGCAAATAATATTAGGTGTTGGCGCCATTTGATTTGTCTACACCTTGTGTGTACTTCAAATTAAATAGTGTATGCTCTTCCCTTTAATAAATTGATTCCAAATAAAATGACGTATGATCTTATTTTCACTCTGAAACTACACCATTAAATAAATATGTAAAAAACTTGTTATTTTAAAAATTAAATTGAAAATATAAGTTATTTTAAAAAAAAAATTCTAAAAAAAATTTATAAACATTATCACAAGTTATTTTCTTAAATTCTCCCAAACAATCTCACAATTCATGCGGGTAGATACGTTCAAATTCCTCAATTCAAAGATGTTATAAATGTGATTTTCTTATTGCTTCTTTTGTCTTAAAAAAAATTAAAATTGCAAGCTTTATTTGTTTTTTTTTTAAATATGAATGCAAATGAGAAAAGCTAATGAAGGGCCAAACAAATGGGCTTAGTAAATGGATCTCCTATTTTATGTTTTTACAAAAAAAATTATAAGAAAATTATGCAGCAAGGTGAATCATTGAATCTACACACTCCCTCTTCCAACAATCTTAATTTAGAAGAGCGAATATAATAGATTTAAGGGGAAAAAATATGGTGTCATGATTAATAAAAACTTCCTCCTTCAATTTGTTTAACATAGCAAACTTTCTCAAAACTTTCCTCAAAATATATATATCCCACTAAACAGACAAATGCTGCATATACTCAAAATAAGCATCAACTAGAATATTCAAACTTGCAAACTAGTTTACATACATTGCTGCAAGCAAATAAAAATGAGAATCATGACAACTGAATTATCAAGCTTAAACAATGTCGCTTGGACAAAGACGACAATAGGACAACACAAACCATAATGCAAATTTGCAAGCCTTCATTGTCAAAATAATCTGAGTCATAAGCTTCTATAACATTCACAATCGGATCAAATTCTCCAAAAATAACCTGCAATTTGCTCAATGCACTGTTGTGATTGGTTCTGGTGACAAGGTAAGGTGAGGATTCTCTTCAACCACTGTTATGTCACCATTCACATGAAATTCTTCTTCACTTGGTTTATCTGAAGGAACCACATTCAGAGGAAGAGCAGCATTTGTCTCGCTGGAAAGAGTAATGTTCTCTTCATTGGCTGCAATGATCTCGGTTTTCTCTTCATTGACTGCAACGATCTCGGTTTTCTCTTCGTTGGCTGCAACGATCTCGATTTTCTCTTCATTTGTAGCTTTGGATAAGGTAGTAATATCTTTCTTTGTTGCCCTGGATGTAGGTGCTGTGGTTGAATTGGTCTTTTCAGAAGCCAGCCGAGTAGGAAGGGACTTTCGTATCGGCTTCTTTTGATTGACAAGGGTAGTTCCTTTAGTGGAGTTGCTCTGTAGCACTTTCTCCTGCAGACTTAATCGACCTTGTCGAGAACTGGTGCTTCCGTTTCCATCAGACTCTGAATTTGTTGAATTCTTCTTACGGCCGAGCTTGGGAGATTTTGCTCTTGTGGTTGGTATCTACATCAGTATTATGTCAAACAAAATAAAGAAGTTAAATTTTCCAAGTGATAAATGGATTTATTGTCCAGATAACAGGGGAAAACAACATTCAAAAGAGTTTGAACCATCCCTTTCCCAATGATATGTTTAATTAGCAGTACAAGGAACAAAATTTCAATTTACTAGTGAGGTTTTGGCATAAATATAACAAGTGAAGATCAAATGGTTTGGTAATGAAAGACAGGGTGTTTGAGTGTAGTCAGGCTAACACAAGTAAAGACTTGACGAAAGCAGCGGCACAGGTAAGATGGGTTGGATGAAGAGAAAGTGGACAGCAAGGCAGATGGTGTTCTGCAGGTATCGCATCAGCACATATCATTGGTGTTGATTTTGTTTTGTGGAAAACAGATTTCAATCATTTAAGAACAGGCATAAGCACATAAAATATAGACACAATAAAATAGACAATTATAGGAGAAATGCAGGAACAGTGAACACAAGTTTTCATCAGCAAATATTTTTCTTTAATAGTTATTTTCAAGAGTTTTTGTCTGTCGTAAGCACATAAATTATATAAGGTTTCCAAGCAAACGAAAATTCATCTGGAAACAATTGGCGTAGAGTGAAGGTTAAGAGTACACAACGTGTGCATGCAAGTATATGTTTGGAATCACTTTTGGTATATTTGGAGCAGTGTTATCAAATATCCGCCATAGCAGATAACATGGCTGTTTTTTTTTTTGGGCTCACGACATTGGTAAATATCGACCGATATTCGGTTTTTTCTGCCATAGTCTACTATAACAGCACCGCAAAGCGGCTGGAATGGCAGGACTTAGGCTCTCAACCATCGACAACACTGGTTTGGAGGCTTTTGATTAGAACTGATTCTAACTTAAAGCTATGAATTGTAGCTTTTGCCTCCAAACATGACTTTTACAATCAAATTCATTGTTCAACTCACTTTCACGTGAACGTATCCAAACATAAAACATTCTACCTTAAATTCCCTTTTACCTAAAATCAACTTTTGCCACTGAAGAACCAAACATACATCCAACCAAGAAGTGATGTACAAGGGTACAACTGTGCAAGTATACACACGCAGTCACACGCGCATTCAGAAAGAGAGAAAGAAGTTTACCTTCTTCAGCTCTACCTTAGGAGGAGCAGGCTCCTGATAGAAAGTTGGCATTGGAGTTGCTTTAAAAGTTAGACTCTTCCTAAGCTTTTTAATCTCGGCTTCTTGGCTCTCCTATAAAAGGAGAGAAAAAACAACATGCTTAAAAGGAAAACTCAGCAATTTATAATTCAATCGTGATATCAAAGATTCTCACCTTGGACTTAGCCTGCAAGGTACTCTTCTCCTCCTCCTTTGCCTGAATCTTTTCCTCAACCTTATTGAGGAACTGCTCGCAAAAGATCAATTTGTTTTTATATAACTAGAAGCTTATTCAAATGAAACTTGAACAGTTGGACCGAAGCTGGAAACATATATATAATGCAGTTTACCTCTCTCCTTTTCTCAGCTCGTTCACCGCACCTGAAACTGAATCCATAATTTGGAAGTGTCCCAACCCTGCGAGGTTTGGCATCTTCTGCATTGGTACTTTCAAGAGAATTAAGGACTACAATACAAAAATACACATCACCATACTCGATAATACATTTATGTGACAAAGAAAACTGCATAGTTTCACATTTGCACTAGAAGGAATTAGAAAACCCTAAGAGAAAGGATACACAGAAGGTTCTGCTTCTCCTTGAACTTTATCAAGAGTTCCCTTTTTCAATGATTTTGGATTTTTCTTCTCCCTGTAACCAATAAAAGCAGTCCATGAGTTTGATAACTACAATCATCCCTTAAAAGTGTATTTCTTACAACGAAACATTGGCAAATAAATGCAAGTCCATACGCTGCAATTTGAGAAGATGCTGCATCAGACTTTGAAGGGTGCTGTGGAAAACAAAGTGAAAAGACTATCAGAAAATGCCAAACTATAACATTATCAACGAAAATTGAAAGGAAAATGAAATTTTGAAGAAACATAAGAAAAACAATTATCTCAAACTCTGAGTTACTAAGTAAATATTTGAGAAGGCAAACAAAGGTAACAACAAGGTTTACCTTGGACAATTGGGACTGCCGGTCATTGAATGATCTGCTTTTACTAGGCTGTTTAGGGCGGGAGTCTACAGCAGAAGTTCCATTTGAAACAGCAGATGACGCTTGTTTGTCTTTTCCAATTTTGTTGTTTTTCACCAAACTAGCACGAATACCACTGGAACTAGCAACCTTTGCATTCTTAATCTTGACAGGACCCTTCTGTGCTTTTGATTGTTCCGCTTGAACTGTTATCTTCTCTTCCTTTTCCTAGAATTGAGCAAGGATATATTAGATCCAAATCATATAACTAATGAAGTGAAGCCAACTCAAGAAAAGCAAAACCCCTCCAACCTTTGAAACAGTGAGACTATTGCCATCCGCGCTGTCATTTGTTTCTTCAGTTTCCTTCATAGCCGAATTTCCAATTGCAGTGCTTTCTGAAAGGTCGAAATTTTCAAAATTTCCAGTCAAAGCTACTGTTTCTGTAGTTTCAGGAACATGAGAGTCTAAACCATTTGAAACAACACCGTCCTCTCCAGAATTAGAAGGTTCGTCATCAACACCGTTTTGGTGGACCACATCAAGTCCATCAGCAGGCAAAGGGTTAACTGAATCCATCATTCACACTAATCTAGTCACATAGACACAAGGAATTCAAGTTAGAGATGATTAAACACAAGAAAACCACAAGAGACAAAGTGAACGAGTTTAATCATTCCTACGGTGTTCAAAAGATATACAGTTGCTTATGTTTGAAAACTATTTAGACAAATTTTCAAAACAATTCATTCGTCGTTTCCAAGAGACTACAACCTTTAACAAAAAAATCTGTCAAACATTCATCAAGAAGCCTTCGATGTAAAGAAAACTTACCCTCTTTTGAAGAAGAAAGATACGATTTAGATGACAGAGCAACCGACTGTAAAATCATGCGATAAGTTATTTACCAGTCAAATGGTAATAAGCTTGTAAGCAACACTACACACAATCATCATAACTCAGAATTTTTCAAAGTATTAAACAATTCTAAACAAACAATCATAATGATGATGATGTAGACCAATTTTATTATATAATCTAATACTACTAATCTTCCTTTGGACTTGGTCGTTCAGTGCATCAAGAAAAATTGGGGAATTTCACCAATGAGAACACACAAAACAACACAATCATGATTATTATTCAGAAAAAATGAATCTTTTCTTCAGCATTTCATCAGCAGCAACCAACCAAGTAGAAAAAAACACTTGAACGGAAACTATTACTATTGATGAATACGATTACAAGTAAAACTAGGGATAAAAAAATTAACATAATCAACATTCTCAGATTCCAAAACCCACTACTTTCCAAGTACCAAACTTCGATCCAATAAGAACCCAAGTTCAATTTTTGAGACAGAACAATCCGAGAAAATAAATATGAGATTTTTGGTGAAAAAATTTAAGTCAACAGGGAGTGAAATTGTGCTTACCGAATAGTCAAAATGAGATGAAAAAATGGAAATTGAACATGATTGAAAGTTGGGAGAAGAGAGAGATCTGTGGCAACGGTAGAAGAAAGAGAGAAAGTGAAAATGGGGTTATAGAAGAAGAGGGAAATCACGATCTGAGACGCTCCAGCAGCAAGATCCGTATGGTGGAAACGGTAGAACTTGCTAAAACATTTATCTTTTTTATCTTTTATAATATTTAATATTGACTTGTATAAAATATAAATATAAACATTAAATTTGTAAAATGTCTATCTTGTTTTTTTTATATTTATAATTATAATTAATTATAACTATTAATATCATAATAAGAAAAAAATCATTTAAATTTTGAAACTAAATTAAATGTTGATATTTTTGTAAAAATAGTAAAAATATTATATTTATTGTAAAAGATATACTATCTCTTATTTAGGTGTGATAGGATTCGAAATCAGCTCAGGCTAGTTTTGCAAAACCCTCGAAAAACAGTGTGGGACAAACACTGTGAACGGCGTGGGTTTAAAATCTTAACCCGTTTAGTGTTGGCAAAACGAATATGCCCTGTTAGGGTTAATTCGAGGGAATATTTTACATTTGAGGTCTTTTTTTTATGTGCAACACACCTTTGTAAGAGAAACACCACATACTCACCCACAATTTTAAAGTGATAGGTGTGTGGACTTTCGCACTTACAAATGCATAAGTCTCCACATTCCTAATCAATGTGGGACTTGATGGGTCATCATGAGGAGGAAGCATTCACATTGGGTCAAACATTCACCTAAAAGTCAAAGACTCACACAAATAAGTGGCAGACACTATTCACCCAAAATCTTAAGGTGATATGTGTACGGATTCTCTCACTTAAAAATTAATCAACCTCCACTTTTCTAAACAACGTGGGACTTAGAACCCACACTTATTTCTCAACGCAACTCACACTTGTTTCTCAACAATTTACTCATCAAGTGTGAGTTCATCCATTATGCTCCCCTCAAGCGGAAGCTCTTTTGTCCACATGCTTGTACCGCCATTGATAGACAATCTTATCTCGTCATGGACACTTCAACGAAACACATCGTCTGAGAATCATGTCAGGAAGACTTTCGACACAAGGAGTTAGTCCCTGACTAAAACAAGACTCTAATACCACTAATGGGTCACCATGAGGGGAAAACATTCACATTGGATCAAAAATTCGCATAAAGGTCAAAGACTCACCCAAACAAGTGAGAGAGACACCACATATTCACCAAAAATCTTAAGATGATAGATGTATGGGTTATCTCACTTATAAAGTGTTCAACCTTCAATTTTTTAAATAATGTGTAACTTAGAACTCAAACTTGTTTCTCAACAGGACTTCCTCACACTAATCACACTTGTAATTCTTTTTCAACACTCCTCCTCAAGTGGATGTGTTTTCATCCACATACACTTATATCATCGTTGATACTTTTCAACGGGTCACCTCCTACCCAATAGAAAATTTCGATACAAGTAAGTTGGTCCTTTCACTCGAACCAAAGGTTCATGATACCACTATTGGGTCATCAATTCGGGGGGTCAACATGAGGGAGCATTTTACACTTTAAGGTTTTCCTTATTTTTATGAGCAACACACATTTGTGAGAGACACACCACATACTCACCCAAAACCTTAAGATGATAGGTGTGTGGGTTCTTCCACATATAAATGCTAAGTCTTCATATTCATAACAAATGTGAAAATTTCCCGCATTACTCACACTTATAATTCTTTTTCAAGTGTCCAACAGATTGAATTAGTTTTGTCACCCCTAATTTCAGATATGCAGAAATAATAATATTAAATTTTTTAAAAGAGAATTTTAAATCTATCGTAATCATTCCCAAATTAGTCTCTACCATTATTTACGCATATAACATTTAATTTCTATTAGAAAAACTATATATAAAGAATATAAGGGAATTTCCAAAAATGAGTATTAATAATAATAGTAATAATAATAATTATTATTATTATTATTATTATTGAGATAATAAAGAGATGATGTACACTTAATAAATATTAATAAATAAATGAAAGGAGTTGAACGGAAGGAGCGGTTTTTGAAATGAAATACTAATTTGATTAAATTTCCAAGTAAAATGGCTAAATGGCATGGTGAGAAATATACGGATACGGTTGCGTTAACATTAATCAATATGCATATGATATTGTTTTTCATTTTTACGGTTTTCACGAAAATACTCTCTTTTACAAGAGTTTCCACCAAAATAAATACTTGCACCGCGCAAACACGTTTGATTATTTATCTATCGCTCTTTGAATTAGTACATGTTTTTTAAGGATTTAAATTATGTAATTCCAACGTGGTCATATTGTTTGCTATTTGTAAATAAGTGAACATTTTCTAGTACTTTAGTGTTCCAATTAGGCGGTAAAGAGTATTTATAAACACTTTGTCGTTCAAGTCATTAACAAATGTTAGAATGAAGTTTTTAGAGTTAGAAAAGAGTGTATAAATATGATTTTTATCTTTTATATTAGGTTTTTTAGGGTTTAGATACTCTAAAAATATATTCTACAATAATTGTCAAGCGTTTAAACAGTCTCAATATCTGATAGTCTAGAAAGGTCTGAACGTCTCTACCTTTAATGTATTTAGGCTTAAGGTCCATTTTGGGTCGTCCCTCTATCTAAGCATGCGTTGTCTAAACTTTAATAGGCTAGGAATTAGGACAAGCCATAACAATAGCCTTTTAAGTTTGGGTCAGCGAAACTGGAATGTGGCTTAGTTAGATAAATTTGGTCTTCGACACACATTTTGAACTTCAGACTTTTAGATTTAGAATTGTCTGTGAGAAGTTTCCTTTGGAATTTGGCTTGACCTTTCAATGTTTTTCATTTATACTTTGTCATAGTATGATGGAACATGTTGAGTTTCTTAGCATCCCTTCGTTCTGTCCTGTGGGATTTATGTCTAGGGAATGATGACTTATGACTAGTTATGACATAATTATTGCATGAGTAGCATCATTGTCATTATGGCTTGGGACTTCGAGGTTATGATTCTTGATGAGGTGGTGATTGGTCATTGGCATGTACCTGGTATAATGCAAATTGTCTCTTCTAATATCTTTCATTTCTTTTTTGTCATAGTATGATGGAACATGTTGAGTTTCTTGGCATCCCTCTATTATGCCATGTAAGCATTATTGTCTAGGGACAGGTTACATATGACTAGCCATGATATGATTACAACATGGATAACATCATTGTCATTATATGTCTTGTGAGTTCCGGTTGTGACTCTTAGTGAAGTGGTGATTGGTTAGCATGCACTTGGTCCAATGAATCTCTTAATTATCATACATTCGATCCTCGCTCCTTTCAAATTCCTAATTTAATTTTAAAAGTATATAAGGGTACTTTTTTTTTTACTTTCTCGCTTGGGCCTTCTAGTTATTCTTATTTCATTGTTATAATTAGACAAATTTAGGCGACTTATATGATTTCCCTTAGGTATCATCACCATCAAGATTCCCGTCTTCTTCTCGAGCACATTTCAGATCTTAGAATACATTTCTTATTCTTTTTTGTTTTGTTTATATATGTTATTTTCCTTTGTTTTAGAGCTTGGTAGATTCCCCTTCCCTATCCCACTTTCCCTCTTATCATTGGTCAATAAGAAAATAATTAGACTAAAGACTTTGTTAATCACCTTTAAGTGCCCATTGATATTAATTGAAGTGGGGTAATATTGTATTAAGATCTTTCATTCAAAGTGAAACAGTGGATAAATGAGGTTTGTTTCCTCTAACTCACTCTTTCTCTTTTTGTGAACATGTATAATAGTGGGCATTATAATCAAGTACCCGACTTTAGGGAAGCTTCTGGATTAGAATATGGTTGAATTATGTAAATATGTAGATTATGATTAATTAGGGATCTCGTCCATCTATTAGGATCTAGAGCATTAAGATTCATACAGAATGACTACAAACATGGGAGGGCCCCTAGGGATTAAATCCCGAAAGTTCCTACTTCTCATATCAGATTTTCTTTAGATACCTCACCCCCTATTTCCATATGTATGGCATATTTTTATGGGAGAAATGGGGTTCTGTTTCTTTCTCAAAACATGAAAAACAAAACTTTCTG